TTTATGAAAACCGCATCAAATCGTAATTAAACAGCTAAGCAGGACTACATCGATTCTTGAAGTCGTGTGCATTTCCTACTGAGTGTCACAATTGAACCTAATCAATACGTCGGCTGTGATCTTAAATTATTTTCAATAAATGTCTGTAATCCTTGCTGTTAGCAAGTCTCTCGACGATTTTTCATTCCAAGGATGCTTGAAATGCAGTTCAAGGACAGAATGTTTCACCGATCACAAGAGAAGCCTATCGCTGCATAAATCCTGTAGCAGAAGTTTTTAAGGAAAAACCAGACGAAAAGAAATTTTTCCAAAGCATGAGAAGCATACACAACTACTCAGGTACCTCATGAAAATCCAAGTCCATGTATCTTAAATGACGACAGATAGGCAGGGCTTGATGATCTGATTATTACCGCCACATATAAATAGAACTACGACCTCAGGCTCAGCTTAATTTAGATTACATTGCAGAACTTGGAGCTAGTAAATATGGAGAGGTACCTATCCACAAACCTAACAGGCGATATTATTACTTACCAATATCGATCACACGTAAACAGCGTCAGGTTATCAGACACATTTGAACTATTCTGTGCCACCACTTAATGCGAATATCAAATACATATAGCGAAGTATCCGCAACAGCAAAAGAGTGCGAAAGCTAAGAAAAGAGGCCCGGGAATTAGACACAACACTTAGTCGGAAGGTACGTTTGCTGGTGAGGAACGAAAAAGTACTGAATCGGGAAATACTAAGCGGAAACAGAACAGTTGATTCAACACTGAAATCCTAAAACATATGCAGTGCCCTTAAAAGAAGGAAGTAATCGCTAAAATAGAGGAAAATCTCCAAATTTTTTGAAATTTACGTAGGTCACCGAACGCAGTGGTATGCTGGACTCGCCACATGCAAAGTGCTCACCAAATGAGCTCGATTAAGACCGGGTCAGTGCTTGTGACGCTTAAAAAACCGGGAATTCGCAAAACACCAGTAGTTGTCATCGTAGCTGCTAAGAACTGTGAGTGTGAGCTGCTGGAAACGGCAATGCATCAATGCAAAAATGGAAATTTAATAAAGAAAATAGCTTTTTGAATATCACAAATTCAGAACAATTGCATCAACAAATTAGCAAACAAAATACTCGATTCAAAAGAAACATGAAACAAACTATTACCATAATATATAGTGAAGATGCGCGCGCTACACTGACAACCTTTCTAGTCGGAACTCGAGCTGCGATGCTTTTTGCGCTTCTTTTCTTTCTTATGTTTCTTGTGCTTTTTTGCGGTCCGTTCTGAATCCGAATGATCACTGCCATGCTTCTTCGAGTGCTTCTTTTTCTTCTTTTTCCTGCAAGTTTCTTCAGCTGTATTCGTCTCAACCACAGATTACAAAATTCTTTAGGCGAAAAAGAGAAGTACAAAAGAAAGCATAAAAGCCAGACACATACATTATCTTTACAAAACAATAAATGGGAAATCGACAAATACAGCAAAAAAAGGAACAATA